TCAATGATGGGCTCAAACATAGCAACGATAGTGAGAATGGGGAAGGACCCGGTAGTGTTTCTTTCTGTTGTATTTAGGGTTACTATGAGTTGGAACTTATTCCATGGCAGATTGCTATGAGTTGGAACTTACTTGATGGCATCTAACAACAGTGGGATACTCTGTCTTTCAGATTTTGCAGATGTTTGAAATTGTTGGCTGGGTTAGGGATTTTTTCATTTGTACAGTTTGTTTATTGTTGGTATATCAAAATTATAAACACTGAAACCTCAGCTTTTGAGAATTCTTAAGAAATTAGTTATTTTAAGTGATTATTTTCTGGTTAAGCAACAATTTATACCTTGGCCTTTTTTTTTAATAGAATTATTTTAGCTGTATGCAGATGAAAATAATGCAATTTTAGCTTTTTTATTCCTTGTTTTTGAATGCTTACTGTAAGCCAGGTACCACTATAGGCACTATAATCTGTTTTAATTTATAATGTGTATTAATTTATTTTGTGTATTTATGTACTAAATAGTCCCAGATTGCAGTGCTTTGAATTCTTGGCTGAATTTTATGGTTTCTCCTTCTTGCTACTTAACTATCCAGCATAATGTTAAGAACTCATAAAATGTTTCAAATGATACTCAGCACATAGGTTGTTGTGTTGTTGTTATGTGCCGTTGAGTCGGACGCGACTCATAGTGACCCCTCCTTGGGTTGCTGAGGCAGTATCACTACGGAAGTAGATTGTCCAACCTTCTTCCAAGGAGTGGCTGGTGGGTTTGAATCACTAACCTTCTGGTTAGCAGTCAAGTGCCTTAGGCACTATGCTACCAGAGCTCCCAACACATAGGTAGTGCTGTATAAAGTATTAGTCATTACTGCTGTAAATACTAGTATTACTGTGACTTCACGATGCTATAGCCTACTTTCCTTTGTCTTTTGTTTTTAAAGTTCTCTAGCCTTGGAAAACGGACAACCCAACTTGTTAGAACTAAATCTAAAATAAGGGGGGAAAAAAAAGACTATATGAAACACAAGGTCCTCTTCCAAGAAAATAAAATATATGAATACTGTTTATGCATTGGCAGTGCATTTTGGCTGCTGAGAACCTTTTTTTTTTTTCTTAAGACATAGACTTTAACTGTTGTTTTTGTTGTTATGTGCTGTCATGTCAGACCCGACACATAGTGACCCCTCTTTGGGTTTCTGAGGCGGTATCACCATGGAAGTAGATTGCCCAACCTTCCTTCTGAGGAGTGGCTGGTGGGTTTGAACCGCCAGACTTGGGGTTAGCAGTCAAGTGCCTTAGGCACTACGCCACCTAGAGCTCCCTTTAGACTTTAGATTTTAACAAGCCATGTTTATAAATAAATAAATCTTGAATAACAAAAAAATACAAAGTTTATCTTAGTAAACAGGACTTGTTTTTTTAGGGAAAAAGACCTTGAAGAAGCCTTGGAAGCAGGAGGCTGTGATCTTGAAACTTTAAGAAATATAATTCAAGGGAGACCACTGCCTGCTGCTCTGAGGGCCAAAGTTTGGAAGGTAACTGGAACCTAAAATGTGTAAAATATAATCACAATTAAAAAGAAAGTTTTATTACAAGCTAATTTAGTTGTTGTTGTTGTCGTTGTTATGTGCCATCGAGTCAGACCCTACTCATAGTGACCCCTCTTTGGGGTTTCGAGGTGGTATCACTATGGAAGTAGATTGCCCAGTCTTCCTTCCAAGGAGTGGCTGATGGGTTTGAACTGCCAAAACTTAGTTGCAGAAGACTTTATTATCTTATGAGTATACCACATCTACAAAATGTGTCCAAAAAAAAAAAAGCAACTTACAAAAATGTGTGTTTTTGTGGTATTTGGTATGTTTAACGATAGTGGTTTAAGTTTTGGAAAGTAACGTTTTCTTTCATAGCCATTACTTAGTAGTGGTGAGGGAAAATGCACCCCCCAGTGAGTAAAATAGAATATATGTAGGAATGATCTCAACTGTGTGTTAAAAAAAATATATATATATATATATATGGGATGCCTTTGAGCATTGGGACTATGGAAGATTTTCCTTTGCTTTATCTTCTTCTTTTCAAACATTATCCAATGAATATGTATTATTATTTCATAAAATTTAGATTAAGATTTCTCTTTATGATTGCAAAGGAAATACATATCTTTGTGAAAACATGTGAGCACAAAGAATAAAATAATCATCTGTCATCTGCCAGCTACAGGTAAAGCACATTGGAACATCTTGGCATATATCCATTAATTTTTTTCCCCTGTGCATATATATATTAACAGAAATGGAATTATAACCAGATAGCAACATTTTCTGAACTTTATGTTATAGAAATTTAAAACACAAAAGTAGAGAGAATTGTGTAATGAGCCCCATTACCCATCACCCTGCTTTAACTGTTACCAACATTTTGGCTAATGTACTTCCCCACCACACTCACTGGATTATTTTAAACCAAATTCCTGGTAGTATGTTTCATCTGAAATACTGTAGTATGAAAGTTTAAAAGAGAAAATAAACTCTTAAAATAATCATAACACCATTAAACATTTTTAAGAAGTTAATAATTCCTTAGTATCATCAGTTTATTTCCTTGGTTGTCTCATACATGTATTTTTACAAAAGATTTGTTTAAATCAGAATCCCATACATTGCATTTAATTGATATGTCTCTTAAGATTCTTTTAATCATCATAATGTTTGTAATATGTTTTTTGAAAAATTATATCATGAACATTTTATTCTGTATAATTTTTAATTGTACATGGTATATGTGTGCTTTCCTACATATTATATAGTGTCTATATTTTTTAAAAGAGCAGAAATAATATCTGTTTAAATACATTTGCATGTTTTGTGTAATTCTATTATGGATCAGAAGTAGTAAAATGAATATGGAAGGATTTAAAATGATTCTTTTGGCTCATGTGATATAATTAAGAGCTCAGTTTTTGGTGGGTTATACATATATTACTTTCTAGTCTTTGAAGTATGTATTTGTTATCCCTAAATTCAGGCCTTTCCATTATTACAGCATATTTTCCAATACTGAGAAATGACATAAGAAACTAGTGGCTTTTTTATATTTCTTCCAGATTGCTCTCAATGTTGCAGGAAAAGGTGATAGTTTAGCATCATGGGATGGTATTTTAGACCTGCTAGAACAGAACTCTGTTCATAATGATTGCCAAGAACTTATTGGTAAGTTTAATAATTGTTTCAAACTGTGAAAAATTTTGAAAATATTAATTTTGAGATTGGGGAGTAACAATTAACTGGTTATAATTTGCAATATTGAATTTGTAAAGGGCTTATAAATAGTTTTAGGACTTTGTTTTTGAAATTCTTATGGCATACCATCTAATAACTTCAAAAGAGAGCCCAAGTTTTACTGTATCTTTTGCATTATATGTTTGACTCTTGATTTACATTTACAGTTCTGTGGCAGTCTTAATCTTGATTTTGAATAATTTAAGAGGTGTGTGATTATATACAGTCCTCAAAAGGGTAGTATTCCAAAAGTTTGTCTGTAAATTAGAGCTCTTGATTTGCTATAGAAAAACAGTTGTGTATCATAGATGAATAGTTTCCAACAACTCCTTAAAACAAAAAAACCAAAACCAAGCACACTTCCATTGAGTTGGATCTGACTCATAGTGACCCCTTCTTGGGTTTCCGAGGCGGTATCACTATGGAAGTAGATTACCCAACCTTCCTTCCGAGGAGTGGCTGGTGGATTTGAACTGCCAGACTTCTGATTAGCAGTCCAGTGCCTTACACACTATGCCACCAGAGCTTCTGAAAGCCTCTGTCAATTCACAGTATTGATTAAATTAGTTTATATTTCTCTTTTTAGTTCATTTACTACCCATTGGTATTTTTCTTTCCTCTTTCCATCATAATTTAGTTAGACTATTGGTTAAATAGGCTTTTGTATATTAACCATAACAGAAACGTTGCCAGTGTCGGCAAAGGAAAGGGAATTTGGTGAAGGAGAACAAATCTCTTTCTCCTTGCCAAAACCGTGGTGGCAACTGCCTGTCATGGTGTAGATGGTAATCTTATTGTTTAGAAAATACTTTTTGCTTCCCAGGAATATGAGTTGTGCCTGTCTTTGCCTACCTCTCTACTTTGACTGGCCATTCTTTTGTTTAACATATATATGACTCCAAACCAAACTCACTGCCATCCAGTTGATTTTGACTCATAGCAACTCCTTTGGGTTTCTGAGGCAGTAAATCTTTACAGGAATAGATTGCCCAGTTTTCCTTCTGTATAGTGGCTGGTAAGTTTGAACTACCAGCTTTCTGGTTAGCAGTCAAATGCTTTAGGCACTACACCACCACATAGCTCATGTCTTATTAAATGAAGTTCTAATAGTAAATACTGAATATTTAGGAGCCTTCCATCCCTTTCCCTTGTCTCACTGGGAACTATATAAGAAAACACAGACTTAGATGAAACTTATTATTAATTTTCTTTAAGCAACTCTCTTGCTTATGATTTAAAACAAGAATATTCTGACAGAGCTTTGAGAGTTTTTTCCCTTGGTTTCAATGTTTAGTGAAATAAGTGTAAAGAATATGTGCTTTCATGGAGCTTTAATTTCCCTTTGTCATACTCTAAATGCAATAACATAGTATTGTTATAAGTGTAATGCCCAATAACTAAACCTCTAAAAGGCTCTTGTTAACTTTACTTTGACACTTATTTTCTAGACCAGCTTTCAGTGCCAGAGGAGACATCAGCAGCATTACTTTTGGATATTGAATCTGTAATTACCTTTTATTGTAAATCACGTAACATTAAATATAACACGTCCCTTAGCTGGATACATCTACTCAAGCCATTGGTGCATCTTCAACTGCCACGCAGCGACTTATACAACTGCTTTTATGCAATCATGAATAAGTACATTCCCAGGTAAAATATGATTTAGTTATTATATAGTTTTTAAAGGAGAATAGGTCTAGTTGCTTTGGCTAAAGTTATTGGGTTTACTTTGGAGGTAAGGTATTCAAATATTTATTAAGTTATTTGGATGATAATAATTAATGGACTTAATTTTTGTGATTATAAACATTTTTTAAAGGATTCTTTAGTTTAGAATTTATGCATCTAAGGTTTATATATGCAGCATAACCCTTCAAGTTTATTCATTTGGTATCCCTATTTTAATTTCTTTACTTGGAAAATAAAACTAACATCACAGTTTATGAGTAAAGAGTAAAAACTTTTGGAACTCTACTTTATGCAAGGTGCTGGGGTTACAGCTTAGAATGTAATCCTAGAATTGCAGGCATTGACCAAGTAACTAAAAATGTACTGAATGTTGGGAAGGTGAAATATAGAATAAATCAACTTGATGGCAGTTGTTTTTGTTTTTTGGATGGAAATTTATAATGAGGGCCTAATTTATGATGCTTAAGTTAAAACCAGGCAGATGTATATAGGTGGTTGTGATGGTAGTGGGGAGAGAGGCAATCATTAGACTGGAAAGAATTCGTGTAGTTCCTAGTGCTTAGGGAGGCATAAAAATCACAATTTTAGAGCTAAAAGAAACTTCAGATAATCCAGACCAGTGGCTTGGCGCACATGAGAATGATTGGGGGAGCTTTTAAAAATCCTGATGCCTATTTGCATACCTAACTAATTAAGTCAAGAACTCTTGGGACTGGGACCCAGGCTTCAGTATTTATTCAGATCTTCCCACTTGATTCCAGAGTGCAGCCAAGATGAAGAACTGCTATTTTGGACCTTGATAGTTAAATGCCTACCATTTTTGACTACTTTCTATGTGACACACTATGACAGGTATAAGTGCTTTGTATATTTTCTCATTTAAACAGGTGCCTTTATAAAGTAAATTTACAACTAGGGAAGCCAAGGTAAAGAAAGAAAGATATTAAGCATTTTAATTTAATTTCTAAGATTTTAATTTAATCCTTGTCTAGGATTTTAATCTGATACGTAGTTGAGTCAGAATTTGAACCTAAATTTGGATGAACATCTAATGCTTAGTTAATGTAGTTCTCTATTCTGGTTGCTTGTTAGAATCAACTAAAGAACTTTTCATTGTATTTTCTGTTTTATAACAACAGCTTTATCAAGATGTAATTTACATATCATGGAATTTACTCTTACTATTTTTTACAATTCAGTTGGACAACCATCATCACAACTTTAGAACATTTTTATCACCCAGAAACAAACCCCATACACATTAGTAGTCACTCCCCGTTTCTCCTCAGAATATTCATCCTTAAAACCAAAAAGCCAAACCCATTGCCATCAGGTTGAGACTACCACTAGTCTACTTTAGGTCTCTATGGATTTGTCTGTTTTGGATATTTCATGTAAATAGACTCATTTGACTGCCTTCTTTCACTTAGCATGTTTTCAAGGTTCATCCATGTTGCAGCATGTATCAGTACTTCATTCTTTTTTATTGTTGGATAATATTCTATTGTTTGGCTATACCATGTATTATTTATCCATTCTTCAGTTGATGAATGTTTGGGTGTTTTTCACTTTTTTAGAGATGCTGTTATGAACATCTGTGCACATGTTTTTGTGTGGGCATGTATTTTCATTTCTCTTGGATCAGTATTAGGAATAGAATTGCTAGATCATATGGAAGTTCTGTTAAACCCTTTGAGGAATTGCCAGACTTTTCCATAGTGACTGTGTCATTTTGCATTCCCATTAACACATCCTCATTCAAAACTTATCTTTTTCATTATAGCCATCCTAATGGGTATGAAGTGATATCTCATTGTGGTTTTGATTTGCATTTCTTTGATGGCTAATGATGTTGAGCATCTTTTTTAGTGTTTATTGGCAATTTTTATGTCATTTTTGGAGAAATGTCTATCCACCTAAAACCTAAAGAACTTCTAAAGCATACTGGTCCCTGGAGTTTTAAATATAAATAGATAGAGTCTAGGCATAAGTATTTTTAAAAAGCTCCTCAGGTGATTTTGATGTGCACCAGGGATGGGAATCTCTCTGCTACTAGGAAGCAATATTCCTTCCTGTAAGAAAAACCCTACTGAGAGATACTAGAAGAAAAGGCTATGGTCATGGCACAGACAAAACTGGAATCCATATTTAGGAGTCATTTTGTTATATTTTAGCTCTTCTCATGGCTGCCCTACAGCAACAGAGCTAACAATAGCAAGGGATATTGCATCCTTTTCTCTAGAGAATGTTGATAGTGGTGGTTGGGAGTATGAGGGAAGGGACTTTACACTGTGCTATATAATACATGGTCTTGTCTGGGTCCTCTAGTTCCTATTTCTATAAGTTCCACATGTAACAGCGGCCCAGCCATGATCAGCGTTTATATCCCTCGATGGAACATGTAACCCACAAGATGCTACTAGAAGAACACTATGATGATAATGTATCATCTTATTGGACAGATTCAGACATAAAATGGGTAGAATTCTGTCAATCACAATGCCTTGGAATAGAGAGAAACTGTGGTACACAACAATTTAATGAATAGATGCTGTTGTAATAACCTGTTCCCAGATATAAACTCCTTTTTCAAAAAACGAACTAGACAGTTGTTCGTGCAGTTTGTGCACCTACCCACTATCTGTTTCTGTGTTCTGCCTTACCATTCATTCTATTACAATTGTATTATATAATAGGGAAAGTATTCAAACTAAGGAGAAGGTATTCTTGCCAAAGGAAAACCAGTTCTGTCCCTGGGGACCTGAATTGCCAGCCTGGAGCCTTTTCTACAAAACAGCTCTGCCATCTGCAGTATCAAAAGGTGGCAACTTGAGGGTTATACGAAATCCTTGCAGTGACTTCAGATCTTAGATTTGTATAATTTTTTTTCTTATTCCCACTTGAATAGCATTTGAAAGCATTCCTTATCAATGCTTTCATTTTAAAACCATGACATTCATTTCATTAATTCTTTACATGAAAAATTTTACCTTTTGTTTTTATAGTTTGCTTTTTTTGAAGTATATACCTCTGCCAAAATATCACTTATTGAAATATCAGATTATGTATATGATTGGACAGTATGGAAGAATGTCTTATGTCCAGTTTCTCAGTACCAGTCTTAAGTCATCACTTCTAGCTATGTGACCTTTAGTGAGCTACTTGATCTCAGCTAAGCCTCGGTTTTCTCATCTGTAAAATGAAGATAAAAGTATATTTTATAGGCTTGTTTATAAAGATAAAATAACTCTTTAAAGTGACTGGCACATAGTATTCCCTCAATAGATAACAGAGTTTTATTATGATGACCTTTGAGCTATTTTAATTTTTTGCTGATTGATTAGACACATTCCTGCCTCATTCCCTTGTGACTACTAGAATACATCTCTGTACAAAAGCTGACTGTGATAAAGTTTGCAATTGTGACTGAGGAACTGGTGAATCCTCCTGGTCCAAATGAAGATGAGTTCATTGTCACCATGTCCCCATTTTAACACTGTATTTTAACCATCCAAACTCTAGAAGTAAGTTTGCTTGCAATATTGATTTTTTTTTCCCCAAAGAAGTGGTTAAAAAGTTAACTGTATTTTCCCAGTATCCAGTGAGGTCATAATTACCAAAAATCTAACATCTTTTAAGAGTTTTTTTTTTTTTTTTTAAATAAAATAACTCAGTTAAAATCAGAGGTATGACAAATACGGAGACAATATAATACATTAATGTGAATATAATAGCTCCTATAGGCACAAAACATTTTCTAAAAGTGCTACTTTGTGGAAGTTAAAAGAAGGCTTCTGAGTTCAAGGTCAGGGACTGAGAACGAGAAAGAGGAAGGAGCTATGTTTCCTGAGGGGTATGCCTAGTATGTAGACTAGGTCTGGACCTGCTCCAAGGGATTGTCCTCTTTGGGTTCAACTGCTTGGGTACCTGGGTGTGGGGAGGTACCATTGAGACCAGAGCTGAGTGTGCCTTCCATGACCCTGGGAAAAGGAGTCTTCTTAAAGCTGAGTAGGCAGAGAGACTCCTTAAGATAGTGACTAGAAATTGCAGAGACTCCATGGCCTGGAATGCTTCTCTTTGTTGTTGTTGTTATGTGCTGTCGAATGCTTCTCTAGGCCTTTTATAATTATTTCTACATTTGAAAATAAAGTCTCTGGCAGTAAAATGTGGTATTTTTTTTTAAGACATTGTGATGATAAAAATGGTGGAGTATGTGTTTGGTACTTTTACTTTAAAATAGTGTTCACAGTCAACTTTCTTATTTACTTTCACAGTAAACCTTTGAAATAAGACAGTTATTCATTAAGATAAGTGATTGCAAAGTTTGGCATCAGTGGATGAGCACAGTGTTTGGGACCTCCTGGAATTCACTCTGGTATCTAGTCTACTTTGCCAACTTCTAAGGTTCTGGGTCTGCTATTTGGAAATGTTGATCTGTGGCCATTTCAGACTTGTGTGTTTATTTGAAATACATTCCTAATTGAGTACATTAACTGTGGTGCTAACCTGAAGCCTTTCCAGAAGTTGCCTTTTCTTTGTCAGGAAAGAAGAGATCTGAACTTTTAAGACTCTCCAGATCTCCCTTTGAGGTTCCAAAGTTACCTAAATGCCTGAGTGGTCCTGTTGTTTTTAGTGATCCATGTAGCCCTCTCACTTGAGTGCTGCTTGGGTTCACCAGGAGGGAAGCCCCCTAGAGTGCTGTAGATCTCTTGTTTCAAATGAAGTATATCAAAGATGTTAGTAAGAGTGTCCTGCCTGGTTATATCAAGTAGACTTGCTGAGGCTGCTGTGCCTCAAGTGTATGGGAAGTAGGGCGTAGAAGTGGGTATTGCTGGAGTTGGTTACTAATGTGATAATTTGTGACATATTAATGCAAAAATGCTTGCTTCTCTTGTCTTCTAGGGATTGTTCCTTGAAGGGGAGACCATTTCATCTCTTCCGATTACTCATCCAATACCATGAGCCTGAGCTTTGTTCTTTTCTTGATACAAAGAAAATTACTCCAGACTCCTATGCGCTCAACTGGGTAATAAAGTGAAAGTAGGAACATTTAATGAAAAATAGATTTCTATAACACTATGTTGTTGTGGTTGTTGTTATGTGCCTTCAAGTCGGACCTGACTCATAGAGACCCCTCCTTGGGTTTCTGAGGCAGAATCACTACGGAAGTAGATTGCCCAATCTTCCTTCTGAGGAGTTGGGTGGTGGGTTTGAACCACCAACCTTCTGGTTAGCAATCAAGTGCCTTAGGCACTACGCTACCAGAGCTCCTCTATAACACTATAATTAGGTATTTTTTTTCCCCGTCTCAAAAAAGAAAAAAAGTACTAAATTATAAATCATTACTACTTAAATCACAGAAGTGAATTTATTGGCATTTCAGAATACCATTTTTTATCGTTCATTTAATGTTAGTTCCGATTATGTTGATACGAAAGTTAGCCTTTTGCTGTTACATGTATCTATAAGTATAGATGCATGTTTGTGTGCATGTGCGCATGTGGTTTTTATTGTTGTTAAGGGCCATCGAGTCAGCTCTGACTCTAGTGACTCTGTGTGTAATAGAATGAAACACTGCCTGGTTCTGTGCCATCCTCACAATCCTTTCTGTGCTTGAGCCCATTATTGGCAGCCAATGTGTACAGTGTTTCACAGCTGTTCATAAAGTTTTATAGTAATATACCAGACAGTGTTTCACTGTTACAAAGTTTTCATGGCCAGTGTTTTTCAGAAGTAGATGGCTAGCCCCATCCTTCTTTCCAGTCTCTCTCAGTCTAGAAGCTCTGCTGAAACCTGTCCACTATGGGTGACCCTGCTGGTATTTGATATACTGATGACATAGCCTCCAGCCTCACAGCAACACACAAGCTCCACAGTACAACAAACTGACAGACAAAATGGTGGTGGTGGGTGTGTGTGTGTGTGAATATATATATCAATTCAGTTTAAAACTGTGTGACTATTTGTTGATGGCATGAATAAGAATTCATGTAGAATCATGTGAGAAATGATTTAAGAATATATAAATGGTTAATGTAAAAATACAAAGTATATCCCACTGCTCTGTCATTTATACTTGCATTTTCAACAGAAAGATTTTTTATTCTAGGTCAGTGGTTTTCAATCCTTTTGGTCTCAGAACCCCTTACACTCTTAAAAAAGTATTGAGGATTCAATGTTTATAAGGGCTATATTGATGTTTACTGTATTAGAAATAAAAACTAAAAAATTTTAAATGTCCATTTATTCATTTAAAAATAATAATAAACTTATTATATGTTAACATAAATAACCTACTTTTATGGAAAATGACTATTTTTTGCAAACAATAAGCAGAATGGTGGCATCATTTTATATTTTTGTAAATTTTTTTAACATTTGGCTAAACTTCAACTGGTTTTGGATCAGAGGCAGATGGATTGTCATATCTGCTTATGACATATGTCATACAGCCTTTGGAAATTCTTTTCTTCACTTATGAGAGAATGAGAATGAAAAATAAAATCTAAGTACTGTTATAAAAATAGTGTTGACATCATGAGCCTCCTCCCTTCCCCAGTAAAAATAATCTTAGGGACTTACAAGAGTCCTCAGATAAAATTTTGAGAACTGCTAACTAGAAGGTTCACCAGCCACTCCTCAGAAGGAAGACTCGGCAATCTACTTTTGTAGAGATACCGCCTCAGAGACCCAAGGAGGAGTCACTGTGAGTTGGAACCAACTTGATGGCAATGAGTTTGGGTTTTTTTTTTTTTTTTTTTTTTTATATTCTAGGTTAACTTGAAGTTGGTTCCAAAGCAATGATTGGATGCTGGAAGAACATATATTCAAAAATTAAAAATACTCCTTGATTATATCTCACCTAATGTGCCTTTCGGGGGAATCCTTTTCTGATACTTACTAGCTGTGTAATTTAAAACAAATAACTTTGCCTCTGAACTTCAGTTTCCTCATCTGTAGAATGGAAATAATAATACCTGTCTCAGAGGATGATGGAATGAGTTAGCAATTTGTAATTTGGAAAAAAAAAAATGTTACAGTCAAATCGATTCTGACTCATGGCAGCTCCCTGCATGTCAGAATAGAACTGTGCTCCATAGGGTTTTCAACGGCTGATTCTCTAGACGTAGATCATCAGGCCTGTCTTCCTAGGCATCTCTGGATGGACTCCATTCTTCAACCGTTTGGTTAGCAGCCAAGTGTGTTAACCTTTTGTACCACCAGGGAGTCCACAAATGGTAATTAGAGAATGCTAACTGGAGCTCTGGTATCATAGTGGCTAAGACACTTGCCTGCTAACCAGACGGCTGGTGGTTCAAACCCACCAGCCACTCCTCGGAAGGAAGGTTGGGCAATCCTACTTCCGTAGTGATATTGCCTCGGAAACCCAAGGAGGGGTCGCTATGAGTCGGGTTTGACTTGATGGCACATAAAACAACAACAACAACTGGTTTCAATTCTGGGCACATTAAATCTCAAGCCTAAGGGGACTTCCCTCTGGGGTATAATCTTGTAACTTTTAAAAATAATCTATAAAATTGTAGTATCTTTGAGATTTATATGTTGCCATTAAATCTACTTACATACATTAAAGTTAAAAACTATTTCTCCTATGCATTCTAGTACTGGTCACATCATTTGCTCTGCCTAGGAAATACCGTTTCTGTTGTCAGAACTCTGAAGTAGTACTCAATGCTGGTAGCAAGAGGTTTTGACTGAGTATTTAAACAACTGGTTTCTCTTAAACTGATGTTCCTAAAAGTTTATTCTTGCTACCAGTATATATCTGTCAAATGGATCTTTGTTTGTTTTTTAAATCATGAGCTAAACAACTGAAATCACTTCCTGAACACTGAGAACCCCTAACTGTGAGCAATGCAGTGACATCTTTAGTTAAAGTGAGTGTAAGAATCGTCATATATTACTATTTTTATTTGTATGTGCGTCTTCCAATCTGTATTTATAATAGTATTTTTCAAAACAACAACAACAAAATTAGTAGCATTATGTACTTTAAAAACTTTAAGGTCAAGTATTATGGTGATTTATGGGTTGTGGAGTCTTTTTTTCTAGACCCAGCACCACTACTCATTAGCTCTGTGAGCTTGGGAAGGTTATTTAATCCTAGTCTATTTCCTTACTTGTAAAATAGGGAAGAAATTGACCACTTTGCAGACCTGTTGTGAGAATTAAAGTAAGAACTAATAAAAGACACGTGAAAGTGGTTAGTACCTAACGCAAAATATACACTAAGTGTGTTCCCATTAGTTCTCTTTAGCCATTAGAATTGTTTTAAGTTGAAACCTCTAGATGAGTCGTCTCTGTCTAATGGAAGTTGAATGATCTAAAAATACCACTGAATTCATGCAATTAAACAACAGTGGGATTCGAAAGAAACTTACAAATTAACCACTGTTTTATTTGAAATACAGACCCATAGAGCTCCTGAAACCTGTTGAGGGATATGAATGCTATCTCATCTGTTACAAATGATATATAAATAAGCTTTGGGAACAATTCTCATTTTTATAGTCATTCAAATTTATAAGACTCTCTTAAATTACTGTGTTTGATGCACACATTTACCTTGTAAATTGAATACTGTGGTAATACGATAATAATTACGCTATTACCCTTTATAAAGCTCTATGGGTAATTATGCTAATTATGTAATGACAAATGTGTACTAGTTATATTAGATACTTTAGGTTAATTATCACTTCGCAACAGTGGCAGAAGATGAGTAGTAGTATTCCTTTTTATTTATTTTAATTTTTTTATTGTAAAAGCTTGTTTTACATTCAACATTACATGTACATTTAGTTTCACTCCCCATTTACCATGTCCATCCCTAACCCAGTCTCCTCCCCTCCCTACCCTGTAACCCTCCCCCTGTGCCCCTCATATTTATGCACCCCTGTTTGTCCTGCATTTCCTTAATTTGAATGTTAGTCCTCTGGTGTCCCATGAGCTATTGCTCTAAGGGATATATTACCATAGAGTGAGTGGGTGCGTCATCCTGGGTTGAGTGGTCTGCATGTACATCTTGTTAACTATTGGGCTGAGAGCCAGCTCCTGGGGGTATGTTTTATTGTCGGTTCAGAATGTATTCCAGCGTCATCATGTTGGGGTTCTCATAAGATTTCATCTGACCAGTAATTCTGGTCATTATTGAATTTTTGGATTTTGTTCCACATTTTTCCTCTCACTCTATCCAGGATCTCCAGATTTGATCCTTTCCTGAGTGGTTGGCATTAGTAGCCATGCACCATCTAGTTCTTCTGGTCTTGAGGTCTGTCGTATCCTAGGGCTGATTGCTTCCAAATGCCCTTTTTTTTTTTTTTTCCCACTCTTCTTCGTTTCCAACACTAGGAGACTGTTAGCTGCATCTTATCTTAGATGGCCACTTGAAAGCTTTAAGACACCAGTCGCTGCTCACCAGTGTAGGATGCGGAACAAGGCTTTTATGTATTTTGTTGTGCCAACTGAGTCTGGTGCCCCCCCGTAATATGGTCCTGAGACGGTATTTATTTTTTAATAGAAATGGAAGCTTAAAGAGGTTAAGTGACAGGTCTTATGTTACATAGCTACAGAGCTAGTAAGTGGCTGTGTTGTCCCTTGAATCTCCTTTTTCTGCCTTTGGATTAAATATGTGAAAATTAAGGTACACATTAAATATAAATAAAGATAATTTGATGTAATGTTACTTGTGCATTTAATACTTTAAAAGTACCATATGGTTTATAGCTCTCATTTCATTTCCTGATTTCAGCTTGGAAGCCTTTTTGGATGTTACTGTTCCATTGAAGTCACTCAGGCAATATGGGATGGATATCTACAACAAGCAGATCCATTCTTTATTTATTTCTTAATGTTAATAATCCTTGTTAATGCAAAGTGAGTATCAAGTTGATTAGATTTTTTTCCTCTTTTCTCAGTGATTTCTTAATATTTAACTCAAATTCATTTTATTCACTTTTACAGAGAAGTTATTTTAGCACAAGAGTCAGACAGCAAAGAAGAAATTATCCGTAAGTATCATTTAATGTAGAGAGAACACTTTAAGTCACTTAATCTCTAAAATTCAGTTTCCTCGTCTATACATTTAAGAGATTAGTTTAAAAGAGCTCTGATGTTCTACTTAGCTCTAAAATTTTATAAAAACACTCTATAGGTACAGACCTATTTTCCCCGAATTCACTGTCATTGTTCATTTCTTTGTGTTTTTTCCACTCTTCCATTTCTTTCCATATTTATTTCTTTGGTTTCAGTGTTAAACCCTCGTCTCCCCCCTCTCTGCTCTTCCTTAATTTACTTCTCAATACTCAGTATATATGTTAGCTCCCTTGTAAAACATTGGTTCTCCTTTGGGTTCCTCCCACCTTAGTCCCTATACAGAAATAGTATTTTTATGTTTCTTACACAAGACAAATAATCATGTTAGAAATGCTTTTATAGCTATTTTTGATTTCTAGGGATCTAGCACTTAATATATGTTTATTGAATAAATAAACCACAGTATTCTGATCAAGCCTACTGAATTTGATTTGATTACTTGACATTATTATTCCCTAACAGCATAATCTCATTAACAGTTTTAGCTCCTGTAGGGAAATCCACTTCTTTCCCAAGCAGCTTTAGAAACATCACTGTTAAAATTCCATTTATATAGTATTCATTATGCTGAAGATATTTCAGCTTTGGTCATCAGTGAAGCTCATTAGTATATTCTTTACTGAGCAGTTTTTAAAATGTTGTCATATCTTATAATTATATTTCAGAGTTCTTGGAAAACACTCCATCCAGTTTGAATCTAGAAGATATAGAAGACCTTTTCTCTCTGGCTCAGTATTATTGCAGTAAAACACCAGCTTCATTTAGGAAGGTATAAGAAAGAAATAACCAAATATTCATTGCTTCATATTTTGTATATTATTTTATTGTTTACTTTGTATCCACTTCATTTGTAATAAGTTGTCATTCTTTTCTGTCCTTGTATGTGTTGCAGTTTTTTGTGCTCTTGTCAGTGTGAATATTCTCCCTAGTGGAGGAACAGATCAGTTATAAAAGATAGAAAGTAAATATACTAGGAGCTATCCCACCCATGTTCCAAACACTAGTTATTTCTGATCATGAGAAAATGTGAGATATTTCCCAAATTAATGCTTTCTTTACTTTAAAAATTGTATGGTGAAAAACCAATAGAAGATGTATGCCCTCCTTTATTTGGAAGTCAGCCTTGTGAAACTTTAGTGATACAAAGTTGTCATAACAGTTAAAAGGGTCACTTAGCCCCATAGAGACATAGACTCTTCCTAGACCAGACAGGCATTTTTAAGACAGGATATCAGATTACAAGTAAAGTGGTATAAGCTCCTAGAAAGTAATACTCCCAAGAAGCAAAAGCTAATAGCAGAGCAGGGGATGGAAGCCACCATTCATAAAGCATACAGGTTGGTCTGTTATTTCTGGTGCCCCAGAGAGCTTTACTGTCTTTTCTTTAAGAATTCTGCCATGATAATTGCTAGTTGGTAGCTATGTCACTGAAAGGTCAACATAAGATTCAGTTATACTCATTATAACGTATTCCAAGAGGCAAGTAAGGAAACACTTTCAGTATTATTTCCAGTAAAATTACTTAGTTAAAAAAAGATTTGTTTTCTGCAGACTGACTTCAGCTGTTTTGATAAGGTTAGGGTAAGTGATGGTGAGATGGTGGTTTAGAATACTCTGTGAGAACTCTTACTCTGTTCTTTTTAGAAATAGGAAATTTACACTAGCACTTGTTAATTAGAAGAGGCTACACAGATCATTGTATCACATAAGTTATGCAATTCATTTCTGTACTTAATAATACATTAAATATGAAAGATAGTTTTTTAAAATTTTAAGTTTTAAATTTAAATTTAAGTTTTCAAATTTAATAGTTGATTATATATGATAAGGAGCCCTGGTAGTGCAGTGGTTGAAGTGTTTAGCTGCTAACTGAAAGTTTCGTGATTTGAACTCATCAGCCACTCTGTGGGAGAAAGATGGGGCAGTCTGTTTCCGTAAAGATTTACACCCTTGGAAACCCAATGGGGCAATTCTACTCTGTCCTATAGGGCCACTGTGAGTCAGAATTGACTTGATGGCAGCAAGTATGGATAACTATATATGATAGTATAGAAAATAGCTGTGTGGTTAGGTGTTGTCATGTCGGCTCCAACTCATAGCAACCCTATGTACAACAGAGAACAAAACATTTCCCAGGTCTGCACCAGCCTCACAATCCTTGCTATACTTGAGCCCGTCGTTGCAGCCACTGTATTAATTAAGAAGGCTTTCCTCGAAGACCTTCCCCTTTTTCGTTGACTCTCCACTTTACTGAGTATGATGTCCTTCTCCAGGGAATGTTCCCTTCTGACAACATGACCAAAGTCGCTGAGAAGTAGTCTGGCCATTCTTGCTTCCAAGGAGCATTCTGGCTGCACTTCTTCTAGTACATATTTGTTCATTCTTCTGGCAGTCCATGGTACTTACCATATTCTTTGCCAACACCACAAGTTAAAAGCATCAACTTTTCTTTGGTTTTCCTTATTTAGTGTGCAGCTTTCACATGCATATGAGGCAACTGAAAATACCATAGCTTGGGTTAGGTACACCTTAGTCTTCAAAGAGACACCTTTGCTCTTCTGCCCTTTAAAGAGGACTTTTGCAGCAGATTTGCCCAGTTCAATACATCATGTTATTTGTCCTTGGTCTTTCATGTTGTATGAACTCTGACAGAAACTTGGTATGTGGCCTTTAGACTTGAGATTATGTAATACAGGCATACCTCATTTTATTATGCATCACTTTATTGTGCTTTGCACATAATTGCGGGGTTTTTTTCCCTTTCAAATTGAGGTTTGTAGCAATGCTGCATCGAACGAGCTGTTGATACCATTTCTCCAACAGCATGTGGTCACTTCGTATCTGTCATATTTTGGTAATTCTCACAACATTTCAGACTTTTCCTAATGCTAGTGCACACTTAATAGATTACAGTATAGTGTAACCATAACTTTTATGTGAACTGGGAAACAAAAAAATTCATGTGACTCACTTTATTGTGGTGGTCTGGAACCAAACCTGCAATATCTTTGAGGTATGCCTGTGGTAAGTTTTAAAAATCACTTGACTCAAGGATGCTATGTAGTTATTTTATCTTTGATCATGATTTAGTAAGAATATTTTTACAAAAAAGAAGTTTGAGTTGGTTTTTCTTCTTAATATTTTAAAAATCTTTGCACAGGATAATCACCATCTATTTGGCAGCACTTTGTTGGGAATCAAGGATGATGATGCAGATCTGAGTCAGGCACTTTGTCTGGCAATCTCAGTGTCAGAGATCCTTCAAGCAAATCAGCTACAAGAGGTAAGTATTTCAGTTGTCCAGAATTAATTATTTTTGTCATTTTGATACCAATTTTTGTAAACTATCCAATTTTTTTTTTTTCATATTTTAGCAAAGCAATTAAATGTGGCATTGGATAAAGTACTTAAAAGGGTAAATTTATCACTTAACAGTTAAATTCTGGGTAGTTATCCTAAAGAATAATGTAGAATCTGCAGAACACTGCATAATGTGGATGAACTTGGAGGATGTTATGCTAAGTAAAATAAGTCAATCACAGAATGACAAATACTGTATTAGTCCATTATTGTAAAAAGTCAAGGAAAGGTTTATATATGGAAGGAAAATTTTTTTGTTGGTTACCAGGGGTGGGAGAGGAGGGAAGGGAACACTAATAGATAGGTAGAGACGAGTGTTGATTTGGGTGAAGAGAAGGACAATGTACCCAATGTGAGTGATCAACCTGGTGGCATCAAGGAAGAGGAAGACATAGGGAGGTGCATGGGAGGTACAGACAACAAAGATGAACCCTTTTGCACAAACAGTACTGTATTATTAGTAATGGCAAATGCTGATATTAGGGTGGGTAGATGGGTGGACAGGTTGAATGATTAGGTATGGCTATGCACAGGGGGAATTTGCGCATGACCATGTATAAGGCTGGCAGACAATGTTTCTACAAATGTATTTGTAAGTTCTGTAAGAATTTCCAGATGGGTAGTAGAGCTAATAAGGGACAAGGTTCTAGTCATTTCTTGGCCATAACCAACTTACCTAGAGGGAGTGAGTAGTTGAACCACTGGGCTCAGGACCATGGTCTCAGGGGACTTCAAGCTCAATTGGCATAATACCCTACACAAAAACATTGTTCCACATCCTACTTTGGCAAATAGTGACTGGGATCTTAAAAGCTTGCAAGCAGCCATCTAGATGCAATGATGGGTCTCTCCTCATCCAGAGCAAAGAAGAATCAAGAAAACCAAAGATGTGTGGAAACAGTTACTCTAAGGGACTGGGTACACCATGTGATCCTCAGCCTATATGACTGTGAGACCAGAAGAACTGGATGGTGCCCAGCTACCACTGTCAACCACTCAAAGGAGGCTGTAGGAGATTCTGGATAGAGTGGGAGAAAAATGTGGAACAAAACTCAAAATCATTGAAAAAAAAGGGGGGTGGTTAAGGACCAGGTTTGCTGGTCTGATAGAGCCTGGTAGAACTCCCAAGACTATGGCCCCTAGCTGCCTTTCAGGTCTGGAATTGAACCCATTCCTGTGGCTTCTAGCCAAACAGAAGACAGACATATGAGCTGAACATTTACATTAGGTAGATACACTCTTTGGAGAGATCAATCATGGGAGAATAGAAGGGCTGTGTATGCCCAGGGAGACAGCTCTGGGGGCAGGAGTGCATGGGAGGAAAGGACATAGGGAAGAGGTAGCTATGTGGAGGAAAAGGGAGGGGAGCAGTTGGATTGTGGGAAATTGCAGTCAGTGTCGTGAGACAGTGTATGTGAGCTGCTGTGTGGAAAGTGAATTTACTTTGTAAACTTTCACACAAATCACAATAAAAATTTTAAAAACAAAAGTGTTAAAAAAAAGATAGTAAAAATGCGTTCTTTTAAAAAGAATATATAGCTAATTGAATTGCATAGTTTAATACTATACAGCTATAACAAAGGAGAACACAGAAAATATACCATACTTTTCTGTGACTTCTCAGGAAGGTCTACTGATCCAGCTTGACCAATGCTGTTTTTCAAGTGTATATTCTTAAAATTATTTTAACAATTAATCATGTTTTGTGTATATTTGGAATGTTTGGGGTGTGGAGAGGAATGGAAGTGGGAAGATAGACCTTTTACAATAGCTTTTTCTCAGTTGAACTTCTTAGTATCTGAACTGATTGTTGAGAATTTTCACAAAACAAGCATCTAACATTTTTTTCTTATTAGAACTAGTATTTGAAAACATGAACTTCAGTTTAAAGACACCCATATGAACTTCTTCAGTTCAAAATGGCATTGCAGAAAGCCTTTTTCCCCCTCACAGAAAAAGACATTTCAGTTCTTACGTGAATTGAATTTTTGAGGATTTAAGTTTGTTGGGTATATTTGCAGAAATAGAGGTAGTGTATCTTACATATATAAATATAGTGAAAATCTAAGTAAATTTTCTTGCTATATATTTTAAATCATTCCAGTCCAGAACAAATACGCAAAATGTTTTGTTTAACATGAGAGAAAATATCTAGGCCCTTGGGAAGATATATTGACTAGGTCTTCATAATTCTAAGTAGGATCCTTACATATATATATTTAAAAATAATGTTCTCCCTCCTATGGTTAATTAATATTTTATTGTGTGATGTGAACCTCATGGCAGATTCCAGTATGTCAAATGTTGTTTCTCTCTTAGGAGGGAGTCCGGTTCTTCGTGGTGGATTGTCGTCCTGCGGAACAGTATAATGCTGGGCATTTATCAACTGCTTTCCACTTAGATTCGGATCTGGTTAGTATAGATGTTGATGAAAAAGAAAAAAAAATTTTTAAGTAAGAAAAGTAATATTTTTTCTTTAGCTTATAAATAAATAGATGTATCTCAAATTGGGGATGTTTTTCTTTTCTGCTTAAGGAAAGTCTCTGCCCTTATAAGAAAAGTCTTGCTCTCAGGTTTCCCTTTGACCCCAGACCCCTTTGGGCATCATAAAGAATAGATGGCGACACTGTTAAAGATGACTAACTATTGCTTACCATTGTTAGGTCAGTAAATTCTAACCTGCTTACTATGAGCTACCTAATGGAGCATTTAGCATAGTGCCTTGAACCTAGTAAGTATAAAACATTGTGCTTATTATTAAATGGGTAAGAATTTTAAAAGTTTTTGCCATAAGCCATTTTTATCATCATAAATACTTATATTTAAAAAGGGTAATATCTGGCATATGTGCTCTGAAAATGGTGAATTATCATTACCATCCAAAGGCCATTTTAATTGAAGGAGTGGATAAAGTAAATAACTAAGGGCTATCCTAGGTGCTTAGAGCCCTAAATAGAACTGAGATTGACATTATTTAAGCTGTTCTGGGGTCCTTTGGAGCCTCAGGCATGAGGAGAATAGAAAGAGGAGTGGTATGGAAACTCTTTATACTGAATATGTAACCCATCCTCCTCCTCCCCAACTTGTCTGAAAAAGTTGATAGTGAGGCTGTAAATGTATGGAAGGGCCTGGCTGATGCTGGGAGAGAAGTCATGGAAAATGAAGGTAGAAGAACCCAGAAGTTTGGGCACATAGGAAAAAGGCCATCCTAGCACATTCACACTCTGTAGGTGAGCTCTTTGTGCCTTTCTCTTCCTTCACACCTTCAGGAAGACTTAGATAATCTTTCACTTATTTTTAAAATGTACTCAAGTGATTCAGGAATGCATCCTTTTAACATGCATTCTTTTAAAAATATGAAGGTACATCCCCAAAAATCAACCACTTTTTATCAACTTGTTTAATCTTCTTGACCTTTATTTAATATATATTTATATATTTTTTGTTCTGTCACTTGCTTTTTCACTTGACAGTTTCTTACAGATCTATTTCAGTACATTCTTTTTAATGGCTATATAGTGATCCATGGTACAGCTTTACCATAATGTGTTGCCCTATTATTGATGAACACTTGGGTTATTTTCAGTTTTTTTACAATAAAAAGTGTTAAAGTTAACATCCTTATGTCTACTTTTGTGAAGTTTTGCAAATATTTCTATAAAATAGATTCCTAAGAGTGGAATTGTGGGGTTGAGGGATATAGGTGTATAAATGTTACCAAAGGACCACACCATTCTTTAAAAAGACTGAACTAGTTTATGCTTTATAACTGTAAATGAGAGTGGTTATTTCATACAGTAGGAGCTCTGGTAGCATAGTGGCTAAAGCACTTGACTGCCAACCAGAAGGCTGGCGGTTCAAACCCACCAGCCACTCCTCGGAAGGAAGGTTGGGCAATCCTACTTCCATAGTGATACTGCCTCGGAAACCCAAGGAGGGGTCGCTATGAGTCGGGGCCGACTCGATGGCACATAACAACAACAACAACAACGTTTCATACAGTTAGCATTATTAGACATTGTCAATCTTTTTTCTTACTACTTAAAAGTTTTTTGTATTTATTGGTATATTTGTTTATTTGAAAGTAAAAAATGAATTTTTTTCATTCCTGTATCTCCAGTAGCTAGAATACAGCTGATAAACAAATGGATAAATGAATGACTTCTACTATTTCTGACTGTCCTCTGAGAAATACATGATTTACCATATAAGTGGAAACCTAGAAAATATAGCTTGTTTTGATACATTATTTTTAGTAATGAACCCTCCCACTCAGTTTTAAACTCTTCCTTTGTTCTAATACTTAAGGAAACCATAGCTAGTTGCTGCAGAAAACAAAAATATAACAACCAAAAAACCCTATTTCTAGTGGAGAAGTATTTTATTTGCATAAGTTAATCTTCCTGTAAATTTTCAACTGTTCTAATATGTTTATACGCATTTCTAATATATTTATAGACATTATACACAATGTATAGCTACGTTTATGCACATTTCATTTATTCTGTCCCAGGGATTTTATTTCCTTTCTTTTCATTGTGTCTTTTTAAACGTTAATGTTTTTTCAGATTTTGCAAAATGTATGTGAAATACAACTTTGCCAAGATTTTTATTTTCAAAACATTGTCTAGATGCTCCAGAATCCATCTGAATTTGCACAGTCAGTAAAATCCTTGCTCGAAGCACAGAAGCAGTCCATCGAGTCTGGCTCCATAGCTGGTGGCGAGCACCTCTGTTTCATGGGCAGTGGCAGGGAAGAAGAAGACATGTATATGAACATGGTCTTGGCACACTTTTTACAGGTATGTATATATAAATTATTTCAGTTTTGCTTTGTTAACTGATAATCACCGCTAAGAAATTCTCATAGGTAATTTTGTGGTTTTATATATTGCAAAAAAGGACATGGCATCTTCTGACCTCTAACTTCACAAGGGGGAGAGAGAATCACCATCAGCAACCCAAGGCTTATTCCTGAGGCCAGACATGTCAGCATCCTCCAGCTTTTTAATGAATTCTGACATCAGCCGTCCTTCCCTGGCACTCACTGCTTCTTTGCTGGCCTCACTAATTCATTGCAGTGGCTACGTTGAGCTCACAGGCAATACTTACCATTATGGGGTTTATTAAGGAAGTAACAAGTTACAATTCAAGAACACAAAGGATACAGTTCTTCAATCAGGATAGCCTCCCCTCTGCCATGCTGCTGGCATGCTTCTCTTTGGCCCTTGACCTCTTGGCCTGACCTCTACCCTGACTGGGCAAGTGTTAAAAACCTCTCTTAGTTCGTGCAGCGGGTGCACCTAGGTGCACACACTTCACCAGCAAACCTGCTGCCCAAAGGCACTTAGCTTTCAAGCTCCATGGGCCAGCAAGCCTGTCAAGTGTCTCAGGCTGGTCTCTCAGTTGTGCTGCTGTTGCCTCCGACTCTCTGCCGTGGGGTCCAGTGCAGGGATCTCGGGTCCAAGGATGTGCTCCACTCTACCTCCATCTCTTATCTCTTGATGGTAGTGAGATCCCCACTTCTGCCTCTAGAAGGGCTCATTTTAAGCCTAGCAGAATGACAGAACTAATCAGTCCCCGTATTAGGGTTCTGTAAACCTTGTTTCCATGGTCCCACCCCCATAAGGGTAGCATATACCTTAGGTTACATTACTAATAAGCTATCTAATCCCCTTGGAGGGCCGCAAGCACCTAATGTTTGCAGAGTTCCACCCAGTAATCTGAGGGGAGTCACAAACACCATGGCTAAAGGAGCCATACCAAGTAGTTCAGTGCACCACATGTCCACTGTCATATTTATTCATATTTTCCTTTACAGCTTCTGGGTTTTGTGTCTTGCCAAGAAGGGTGTTCTTCTTCCCCGAATTTTTCTCACATACTTCCTTCAAGTACCTATATGGTTTATTTTTAGATTTAAGTCTTGAACCATCTTAAATTTATTTTGTTGTAAGAAGTGAAGTAAAAGTAAAAAAAAAATATTTCGCAGGTAGGCAACCAGTTGTTCCATCAATTTCATATCCCACCTTTTTACAATATTTAATTTCTCTAGGCATGAACATTTATTTCTTGATTATTCTGTTGCATTGCTATTTATGTGTATTCATGCCCTGGTCCTTTCACGGTAGCTATATATGTAATTGGACATGTGATCAGGAGGGAGCAGTCCCTGGAGAAGGACAACATGCTTGTCTGCCCTAAAGTAGAGGGGTCAGTGAAAAATGAACACCCTCAACAACGTGGATACACACAGAAGCTGCAACAGTGGGCTCAAACCTAGCAATAATTGTGTGTAGAACTGGGCAACATTTTTTGTACAAAGGTCACTATGTGTTGGAACAAACTTGACAGCACCTAACAACAACAACGACGACTTAACATGCATTTTCCTTTCTTTATTGTGAAATTGAATATATATATGTATTTATTTATTCATGATATTTAACCACCTTTCCTTTTTGTGTTTGAATGTTGACTTCATCACTCCTGATTTGTAGTAGTGATTTTATGCAACCTGTCCCTCTACCTTCTCCAAAAAGCCTCACTCAGTTATGGCTTTGTCTTTATATAAATAATTGCTTAATTAGGTTTTCTTTGGTAGTATATATATTAAGTTTTTCATTTTACGTGATATGTAACTATGGAATCAGTAAGACAGTGAGCATGGTGTTGCACAAACCACTTAACTTGGATCCTTTCCTTTTCATGTTATATTTTGCTGGGACTGTGGTTTGAGAAGGTTAATTTAAAGATCAATATTTCTGAAAGAATAAAGTCAAGGTGGTGTTGGTGAGGGATTGTAATACAATTTTAAACCTTATTAAAGGAAAGATCTTAAACACTTATAAAGAATATCAGAAATAAGAACTCAGCCTTATTTTACTCATAAATATAATTGGCCTATGCTGAAGTGCTCTGGAAGGAACCATAACGTGTTATCATATGGCCAAGACTTTGGAATATTGTGTATTTTTCTTTCTTTTTATGATTGACATTCTTGATGTGCTTTTAGAGATTTTGTTTCTGATTTTTATCATGGAAAATTTTAAACAAATTTAAAAGTAGGGAGACTCGAAGCACATTATCATTATCATACTTTACTATAAAAAATCTAACTAGTGTTTAAGTTTCCTTGATTTGCAACATAGTAACATTTATCATTTTTTTCATGTATTAACAAAAACAATACATCCTGATGTTGAATTGATTCCAACTCATAGCAACCCTATAGGACAGAGTAAAACTGCCCCCATAGGGTTTCCAAGACTACAGAAGAAGGCTGCCTCATCTTTCTCCTGTGGTGTGGCTGCCAGTCTTTTGGTTAGCAGCTGGATGCTTTAACCACATTAGCTGGGATATTTCTCTTAAAAAACATGAAATATTTTGAAAACTTTGAAAAACTACTCTAGCGATATCCAAAAAATACAATTTAACTGATTTTGTTTGACTCTGTTGCATGCGTATTTGAGGCTCTATGTGTATTTGAGTGTTGTAGTGTTATCTCTGTTTAATCACAGTCTTGTTAATAGCCATGAAGTTGTCCCCTTCCTCCCACCAAAGCACCAGTATACAAGGTACATGTTTATACCTTTCTGTGCCACATTCCAAAACAACAGGGAAAAAAGTCCATAAATTTACTGTATAACTAAGTATTGTAATTGTAAATATTTATAGAACTATTGGAAGTTTTGAATTGCATTTTGGATTAACTTAGATTTTATTTCATTACAGAAAAACAAAGAATATGTGAGCATTGCCAGTGGAGGATTTATGGGTAAGCTTATAACTTATTAATTCCTTTGCTTCCCCTTTTCAGAAGATATTATATTGATTATTAGAGCTGATTTAGAGTGGCCAAATTAGTTAATGGGTAGATTCTACTATCTTTGCTCATTCAACATCTCTACAGAAAGGCAAGGTCGGCAGGATAACAGTTGAGTGCCTTATAATGTCTGTTTGGGCAGTGTCCAACCGCATATATGTCCATGGTCCCATAAAGTTATAATAGAGTTCAGAAATCAGAGAATGGGTATAGTGGCTGTAACTGGATGTACTGGGCTCATCAGCTTCCTGCATGCAACATATGTATCTCTTGTGAAAAAGAGATTGCATTGTCAAGTGTATAATGGTACGGTACATATATAACCTATAATATATACATCTTGATAATCGTAATAAATGCCTGTGTTACTAACTTATGTATGTACTGTACTTTCTATCATTGTTTTAATGTGAGTTTCCCTACTTACACATAAAAAGTTTACCATATAACAATGTATGCTTCAACTCGTGGGCAATAGTATCCAATCTTGTGTATTGTGTATCTTTTGAGTGTTGTAGTGTTATCTCTGTTTAATTTTCTTGCAAAAGTATTATAGTGACATGCATTATGGCTTCCCTGTTCAGCAAAAACCAGTCCTAGTGATAAAAGCATCAAGAGTCAAAGGAGAAATAATGATTTAGAAGTGAAACAGAAGGTTATGAAACAGCATAAAGGTTGAAAATCAGTGAATGTTATTGTTCACAATTTAGGCACATTCACACAATATCCAAATCACATATGTCCTATTTCACAGACTGTATCACGGATGTTAAGTGATGTATGTAGATGAGAGATAGACATAACAACTGATATGAATGACTATTTGATGAAAGATTATTTAAATAGATGTCTTCAGTTTACTTACATTTGCAAAAGCTATTTCTATAAGGAAGCATGAAAAACTGCCCATATTACTTGCCTATATGGAGAAGAAAGATGAGATGGGGCTGGGGAAAAAGAATGGAAGAAATACTACTCACAGTGTACGCTTTGTACTGTTTAGGTTTGTGTTTTGTTTTTTTTCCCTTTTACTTTGAACTACTTGAAGGTTGTGGTGTAGTAAATTACATAATGTGGCTTTTCTAGCCATAAGTCTTTGTAACTCCATGGTAGAATTTGCTGTGAGCCACTGAGTAGCTCCTGATTGTTAAAGTTACCTACCTGGGGTATTTCTGTTGGGAGCAGCATGAAGTAATTTTCTTGCAAGTTCTCATTCTCTCTCAGGTGCATAGAATTCTGATGTTGGGATTGGTTAGTTTGGTTACTCTTCTAGGCTCAAAAGGAGCCCTCCTAGAGGCAGAAGAAATCTCTGACTGCCAGCTGGGAGATGAGAGAGACACACACTGCTGGGAGAGAGTTACTGAGAGACATGCACTGCTAGGGGAGAAACACTGAGAGACATGCACTGCTGGGAGAAAGACTGAGAGAGACTGTGGGCTGAGAGATGGCAGGCTGAGAGAGACTGAGAGTGTTCCTGAACTTGAATTAGGGAAGCCTGTTGCTTCCCTGATAAACCCCATAATCCGTGAGTTCTGTGAGGCCACTGCAGCGAATTATCGAACCCAGCAGAGAGGTGGTGGATGCTGCAGGAGGAACAGTTGGTGTTAGGGTTGATGAAAGGGCTGGAGGCAGGCGGCACATCTGGCCTCGCAGGGATAAGCCTTGGGCTACTGATGGTGATTCTGTCTTCCTCTCGTGGTATTAGAGGAGGTCAGAAGATGTGGCCTTCCTGCCCCTTTGGGAAAGGTATTTCATCTAAAAGTGGAGTAAAGTAAATAAGTAGATGTTTTTAAACCTGAAGACTATTATCTGGTAATCCAGGGTATGAAAATAATTAGCAAGATCTCTGCAGGCAAATATTTGAAATTTTATGAAAGATTAGGTCAGTTTAATAAAAGAGCCATTGTAAAATTACTATATAAATGCTAGGAAAAATTAATGATAAAATCAAATTAAGGCAGGGTAGGAGGTGAAGGGAGGGTAAATCATTAACTGGAGGGTAGATACATATTAATGTGTGTGAAGGGGAAGGCAATGCACAATAAGGGAGAGGTTAGCACAAAATGATCAAGGCAACTAAAGACACGAGCTTAAGAGTTAAAGGCAACAAAGGTCAATACTGTTACATAAACAATCTTGCAATAGCAGTGATAACAGTAATCTGCAAGAGGACACATACACACTCAAGCTGAACAAAGGTGGGGAGGCAAATGGGAATACACCCACGAATATATATAGGTTTGACAGAGACTTTCTCTACCTGTGTATTTATATGTACTGCAAATATATCCATGAATACAATAGAGCATACAAGGGGCAGAGTTACAAAAATGTTTTAGTCATAGCCATACACCTTGAGGGAATGAGTCCCTGGTATGGAGGATCAGGACCATATTCTCAGGGGATACTAATGTCAATTGGCATAACATAGACCACAGAGACAGTGTTCTGTATCCTATGTTGATGAGTAGCTACTGGGGTCTTAAAAACTTGTGAGCAGCTATCTAAGGTGCAGGTATTGGTCTCTCCCCATCTTGATCAAAGAATGAAGAAAATCAAAGAAGCAGGAAATATTTAGTCCATAGGACTGATGGAGCACTTGAACCCCAGCCTCCACAACCTTGAGACCACAAGAAATAGATGGTGCCCAGCTGCCACTGCTGACCACTCTGAAAGGGATCACAATAAGTCACAATAAGTGGTCCTAGGTAGAGTGGGGAGAAATGTGAAACAGCTCAAAATTGTAAAAAAAAAAAAAAAAAAACAGGCTTTATAGTCTGATGAAGACTAGTGGAATCTCCAAGACTGTAGCCCTTAGATACCCTTCAAGCTAGGAACTGAACTTAATCCTTGTGACTCATCTGGCAGCCAAATGATAGGCCTATAAGGTGGATGATAATAATAGCAGGAGGGTATGCACTTATTGGAACAATCAAGCATATGAGATCAAGAGAATAGTATTTGCTGCACAAACACCAGAAGAGAAACTAGATGAATAGGACCTTCTAAAAATTAAATTTTTATGTCCTTCCAAAGACTTCTCCAAAAGAGTCAAAAGAGAACCTACAGATTGGGAAAAATATTCAGCAATGACATACCTGACTAGGGACTTATCGCTAGAATTTATAGAAAACTCCAACACTTCAATAACAAAAAGAGAAATAATCAATTAAAAATGGGCAGAAGGCATGAATAGACACTTCACCAAAGAGGATATTCACGTGGCCAGCAAATACATGAAGAAATGCTCATGATCATTAGCCATTGTTGTTGTTGTTCTATGCCGTCGAGTCGGACCCAACTCATAGCGACCCCTCCTTGGGTTTCCAAGGCGGTATCACTATGGAAGTAGATTGCCCCATCTTTCTTCCAAGGAGTGACTGGTGGGTTTGAACTGCCAGGCTTCTGGTTAGCAGTCCAGTGCCTTAGGCACTATGCTACCAGAGCTCCCCATTAGCCATTAGAGGTGCAAATCAAAACAATGAGATACCATCTTTCCCCAGCACTAGTAGCAAAGTTCAACAAGACAGAAAATAACAAATGCTGCAAAGATGTGGAGAGATTTGGACTTTCATACACTGCTGGTAGGACTGTGAAATGGTACAACCACTGTGGAAAGCAGTTTGGCAATTCTTTAAAAAGTAGGAATTAGAAATACCATTTCACCCAGCCATTCCATTACTAGGTATATATCCTAAAGAAGTGAGAGCCATGACAAGAACAGACATAGCACACCCATGTTCATCGCAGCACTATTTACAATAGCAAAAAGAAACAACCTAGGTGTCCATCAACTGAGGAATGGATAACCAAACTATGGTACATACACACAATGAAATACTATGCAACGCTAAAGAATAATGTAGAATCTGCAAAACACCACATAACGTGGATGAACTTGGAGGACATTATGCTGAGTGAAGTAAGTCAATCACAAAAGGACAAATGTTGTATTAGTCCATTATTGTAAAAGTCAAGGAGAGGTTTATCTATGGAAGGACATTTTCCTTGTTGGGAAGGGGAGGAGGGGAGGGAAGGGAACACTGTTAGATAGGTAGAGACAAGTATTGATTTGGGTGAAGAGAAGGGCAGTGTACCAAATGTAAGTGATCAACATGGTGGCATTGAGGAAGAGGAAGACAGAGAGGTACGTGGGAGGTACAGACAACAAAGATGAACCCTTTTGCACATACAGTACTGTCGTCAGTGAAGGCAAACGTGTATACGGGTGGATAGATGGTGGACAGGCTGAACTATTAGGTATGTCTGTTGTTCTGGTTACCTAGTGCTGCTCTGACAAGAATACACCACAAATGGAATGCCCTTAACAAACAGGAGTTTATTCTTACAATTTGGAGGCTTTAAGTCCAAATTCAAAGTGCCAGGCCCCAGGGGCTGAGTGAAAGCCCCTCAACCTTGGGGTCCAGCTTTGCCTCCTGCTCCTGGCCCACTGGAGCTAGAGGCATTTTTTCATTCAGACAGCTGCTGGCTGCTGAGGCTGAGAAGCCCCAAGGTTGGCAAGTAAAAAGCACAGTCCAGATGTTACCAAACCACATGGCAGGCCATTAACTTAAGTCCATTGTAAATCCCAAGGTTGGCAGAGCATGGCAAGCTGCTCAACAAAGACACAGCTACATGCAGGGTCCAAGTGTGCCATAGGCTAGTGACCATTCCCAAGGCTTCTCCTTATATACAGGAAGCAGACCACGTACCCAAAGGCAGCTACCCAACTTGTGGTAGATAGCACCATGGAGTCGATTGCCAGTCTCCTCATGGAGCTTAATTACCACCAGCTGCCCAGCCACTCAAGCAGGCCCAGCCAAGTTGACACACAAACTGAACTACCACAATTCCACCCCTTGTCAACTTGGCACCTGTACAGATCTTCAATGGGTGGTATCTGTACAGGTTTCCTCCTCTGGGTGGCTCCAGTCCCCTAGTTCCTGAATGGT